GGGCAGGATCTAAGGGCCCCAGCGGAGCATGTCTGAAATCTCGTTGCTCTCCACCCCTCAGCGCCGCTCTCCTCTGCGGGCCCCCTTGCAGGTGGCCTCACCCACCAGGAGCGAAAGAGTCCCTGGCCACCCATGGGAAAGAGTCCTTTCTTTCCAGATGATCCAGCCAAAGTCCTAGGGCTGGTTCTCATTGGTTGGCTTCCATCCCATGTCCATCCCTCAACCAATCACAGTAAAGCTCACAGCCAGGTCAGGGCCTGGGCCCCTAGCCCACCCTGGGCACTAGAGATGGTTCCAGCCCTCCAGGAAGGACATGGTAGAGAGTATGGGGCGTGGGTGGGTGGGTGCTGAAGAGCAAAGTTCCCGGAAAAGGGGTCTAAGCGGTAGCAAGCCGTGGACCACAGATGCCGCTCAAGGCCTGCTGCCAGGACAGAAAGCGCCCGCCCACTGCCTGGGAGAGGAGGAGGGGAGCACTGGAAGCCTCGGCCTTCAGAGGCACTGCCCCCTGGCTCCGTAGGCCTTCCTCCCAGCACCCTCGGCTCGCAGGCAGGCCGGGAGGAGGGGCGAGGGTTGGCAGTGAGTGTCAGAGCTTGTGTGCCGCGGAATAAGTCAGCCAGGCTGAGTGGATCGATGCTCCCTCCTGATGGGGTGGGAGGGACTCAGTGTCCTGTTTCCAGGCTGCCATCCATTCCTGAAGTTCTGTCTCCTCACATTAAGGCCGCAGGGTCAGCCCAGGGCCTGCGGGCGCCTGAGACTGGGCAGCGTGTGTGGCCGCGGGCACACCGGCAGTCACTTCCTGGCCTCTCGAGCCCCATTACCCCGGCAAAGCGCCCCTCGCAAAGGGCCTTGGCCTGCGCACAGCGGGGGTGGGCATGGGGGTGGCTCTCACCTCCTCCCCAGGCAGTCCCTTCTGATCCCTTCCTCTGACCTGTCTGGGATTGTTTCCTCATCTACCTACTGGGTAGCATCTATTTGCCTATCAACTGGGGTGATAACAACATCGTCCTTCATAATAAGGTCATGCAGGTGGGCATTTCACCCACGCGTGACACAGGCATGCTGCCACTGTTACCATCGTTGTTGTTATTATTATCATGATGCCTTGGGGAAAATTGCACTGAGGGAATGGGCTAGGCTGAGGATGGAACCTCCAGGCAGGGCTCAGCTGTGCTGCTCACTCTCCTAGTGGTCAGGAGCCTCTCTTTCCCCCTCCGTCCTCGTGGAAGGTAGTCTTGTGCCTTTTACTGCTGGCCAGGACTTCACGCATCCCACCAGAAATGCCGAGCCTGAACATCCCTTCTGGATGGTGGGAGTAAGAGGCAGGGGAAGCCCTGGACCCTGGCACTTGCCTGGAGGAGGAGGCAAGGCTTCTACTGAGAGTCCACCTGTGCTCTCCTGGGGTGCTCCATCCGGTGTCAGTTTGTTCTCACTCTGTAGACATTTACTGCACAGCCAGTGTCCTGGGTCCTGACTGTGAACATGCAGGCAGGTGTTGTCCCTGCCCTCACGGAGCTGACAGCCCTTGGAGGAGACCAATAGTAAGCAGTGACATGTCTCAGAGCAGCCAGCAAAGGCAGAAAGTAAAATGGGGCTTGGTAGTGAGTGGGGGGTGGGCCAGAATGGGGTTTGGTAGTGAGTGGGGGGTGGGCCAGGGTACCTGCTCAAGCTGCACCTGAAGGAAGAGCAGTTTGGGGAGGAAACCCAGCGAGACCAAATTAAGCTGGTAGCATCGAGGGTCTGGATGGCGGGCCAGTATGTCTGGGACAGGGAGGCCAAGAAGAGTGGGCAAGATGAGGATGGGTACATCTTGGGACTTCAGGGCTTTGGTTCTCCTGCCTGCCCTGAGAGGGTTCACTCTGGGCCCCACTTGAGCCCTTTATGTGTTTCAATGGTCTCTTGACTCAGGGACCAGGACTGGGCTGGGGTCTACGGTGCCAGGAGAAGCCTGGTGGGCTCCTGGGAGGCAGCCCTCGGAGGGGCTGTGGAGCTGGGAGGATTCCAGGGAGCACTGGTGCAGCTGCCTGTGGGCCAGGCAGAGACCCTGGGAGGGACTGTTTTTCACATCTCAACCAAAGGTTAATTATGCTGAACAGATGCATCAGTGTTGTTATATTAAAACATGAATATTACAAGAACTGCCCACTCAAACTGGCAAACCCCAGCCTTCAGGGGACCCCTTGCTCCCCCACCACCCCCGTGGCTTTGTGGCCATGGAAGCAACTTTCCATCTCTGGGACTCACTTTCCTCACATGAAGGGGTGATTTCAAATTGGCTAAGGGGCTCTTTGCACTTAGGCCTATGGCTCTGAGGATGCCCATATCAGGAAATATTTTCTGAACAGCTACTATGTCCCACGCCCAGGGCCAGGAGGGACTGGGCCCCACTCTAGAGGAGAAGAAGGAGAGCATTTCAAATTAAGGGAAAGCTGAGCCACTGAAAGTACTTAGGGAAGATAAATATGTTGCTAGAACTGCTGTGCACGGGCCACCTAACTCCCATTCATCTCACTGGCTTCTCCCATGGCCATTCAAAGAGGTGGTTATCCTACAAAGAAAGAAAGGGGACATCAGCAAGGGATATGTCCAAGGCTCGCTACCTGGCCCTGCTCAGCTCTCCTCAACACTAGAGGGAGTCATAATGTTCTCACCTCCTCTCTCTGGCTGTGGGCAGTGCCCTGGCAGGGCTGTGAGCTAATCTGCCTTCAGACAGGAACCCCTGGGGCAGGTGCAGGAACTGGTTAGAGACCCGCACATGGCTCTGCCCCTCTGGGCCTCACTCCCCACCTCAAACATGGGTGTGCTCCCCAGAGGGAAACTGGTGCTTCATGCTGTCCAGCAAAGAATTGTGTGTCCAGAGCCCATAATAGTTGCTCATGAGATGTGATTAACAACTGAATTCTGACCCAGGAAGTAGGTCAGGAGGGTAGGATGTGGAGCCTAAAGAGCAGTGGCTTGTGGAGGTCAGCATTCACCTCTGCCAGGATATTCTTTGCTGGGTGACCTTGGGTAAGACACTTGCTGTCTCTGTGGAATGAGTCTGACAATGGCTCTCGGGGGGCCTGGGGCCCCGGGAGATGACCTGGCTTGCCTTACACTGGCTCTCTTGGGTGGGGGCTCTGTTGAGGGGGGGGAGTTATAGAATTGAAGATGCCCTAGCTGTATCCCCTTGTCCCAGGAGTTGTTAGAAGCCTGGACGAAAGGTGCCCCAAGGTGTTCCTGTCCATTGCCCAGCCAAGACCATTTGCTGGAACTGTCTCCCAGCTGACGGGCACCCTGGCTCCTCCGGAGACCCACAGTGGGGCCTCACAGGAGGGCTGTGTCTTGGAGCCTATTCATCCTGGGGTGGAACTGTGGTTTCTGTCTTCCGGGAAATGGAGCAGGAGAGTGTGGGGAGCTGAATCACTTCCCTCCTCAGTCACTTTGAGGGAGAAGGAGGGAAAGTTTCCTGAGAACTTTTGGTCCCATGGGGGCCTGGAGTCCCATGAGGGGAAAACCAGGACAACATGTTCAGTGAGGGGTGAGATGGGACCTCCTGGGTGCCCCTTCTTTCCCCTGCAGCCCTCAGCAGCTGTCAAGGCAAGGGGGCAAGGGCGCTCATCTGCAGCAGCCCAGTGACAGAGAAGTGACCTCTCTCTGTGCCTTGGCAACTGCACCTGTAAAATAGGACTGTAAAATGGGGTAAAATAGAATTCACCCCATTGTCATAGTGGGAGCAAAACAATTATATCCAGGTCCTTAGCACAGGGCTCACTGGCACTGAGTGCTCTGTCAGGGTCAGCTGTGACCCAGCCAGAAGCCTTGCTGATCACATGCCGTTCAGTCCTCAGTACGGCTCCAGAATGTAGGAATGCTCACTATTCCCATTTGAGTATGTGGAAGGTGAGGCTTGAGGTGAAGGGACCTGCCTCCACAGCTGCTCAGAAAAGCCTGAGTTCGGTGACAGCACCTACTGGTGCCAGGAGCCTGGGCGGGGCTGGGAGCGGTGAGCCTGTGGCTGGTGGGGCTTGCGGACTGCTCTGTCTGAGCCACCAGCAATCTGGGCAGTGGCCAGAGAGCCATCCTCCTTGGTTAGAATCCTGCAGCCAGTCTCCCTGCTGTGCTGACACATAATTATATTTCACATTAAAGGGGAAGCTGGAGGCCAAGGGGGCCAGAAAGCCCTGAGGCTTGTTCTCTAGGCAGAGACCTGGTTCCTTGGCCCCAAGGCCGCACAAGGGTCAGACTGGTGATAAAATGGGGTCTCCCTGGGCCAAGGCCCAGCCAAGCAGGTCTGTCTGCCAGGATGAAAGGCCTGGGTCCTGTGGGAGGCTGAGAGATCTGAGGCCCAGACAATAGGCCCCAGGAGGCTGCTAGGGCAGGGTGAGTGGGGACGGTCTGGGAAGAAAGCCTGAGCCTCCAGAGGCAGGGGTGGCAAGAGAGGGTCACACGGGGGGTCAGGTAGGAAGAGAGAGAGAGAGAGAGAGAGCGCAGGGGGAGAAGCACAGAGGAGAATGAAGGAGGTGGGAGAAGCCAAACAGCACAAAATGGAGAGGAGAGATCCACTGTTAAAGAGGGGAAGTGATGTGTGTATATATGAGTGTGCATGCCTGGTGTGCAAGGAGAAAGCCTTCTGTGGTAAGGTACAAGCCAGAATCTGTGTGCATGTGTGCACACGCACAGCTACCACCTTGTGTGTGCACATGTGAGTGGGTATGCACCTGTGCACCTGCAACTAGCATGCGTGTCAGAGCGTGCGTTTTGCATGTGTAGATGTGGACACCTGAGCTTGTGTACCCGGCTGTGTACAGGCGTGTGTGCAAGGTTCCCTTGGCTGTGTGTGCGCTCGCCATGCACCTGTGTGTGCGTGTCCCTGGAGGACATGCCTCGTGTGTGCGCGCGCGCGCGCGTGCGCGCGCGCCCCATTGCGCTAGTGGCTGGCGGTGTGTGCGCTGGGGGCGGCCCGGGGCTGGGGGTGCGCCGGGCCAGAGCGGGCCCGGGTGGGCGGGGGCAGCGGCGGCGCGGCTCGGGGCGGGCGTGCTCTCGGCAGAGTTAGAGGAGTTGCCGAGCTCGGTTCTGGTGGCAGCGGGGCGCGGAGCTGGGTGCGCGCCGAGCCTCAACCTCCCGCCGCCTCCTCGCTCTCCATTCCTCTCTCCCCGCCTTTCCCGGGCCTCGGCGCTGCCATCGCTTCCCTAGAAACGGTAGCCAGGGGCGAGGGGCTGGAGCGGCCAGAGCGGGCTGGGAGGCGCGGGGCGCCGGGACGTTGGGGAGCGCGCCCGGCCCAGCCCGGGATCAGATAACAGCGGGCGGGGGAGGGGGCGGGCCGGCCGCGCTCCCAGCCGGACCGAGGGACTGACGCCAGCCCGGCCGGCCCAAGTGAGCGCCCCGCGGCCGGGGGCGCCGTCCAGGCGCGCGGCCCCGACCCGTGGCTGGGCTGGGGCCATCGGCGCCTCGGCATGGAGCGTCCTCGGGGGCTGCCCTGAGGCGGCAGCGGCGGCGATGCAGCCAGCGCGGCGGTTGCCGAAGCCAGGAACGGCCGCTCGGAGCTCGGAGAACACGGTGCGCGCCGCTCCTGTGGCACCGACCGAGGTAAGTGCGCGGCCGCCTGGCGCACGGCCCCCCGGGGGCCCGCGGCCAGCTCCGGGAAGGCCCCTCCCTGGCCCGGAGCGAGCACGAGGTGGTGCTGCAACAGGGAAGGTGGGGCGGGAGCGTTTTTTCTTCCTCTGGTTTTCTGTTTTTTTCCTCCTCCCTTGGTGAGCCATCGGAGGGAATGCTGACTCCGAGCTTTTCTTCTCCAGCCATGCCTCCCGCTGCCGCAACCGGGGAACTTTGCTCCTCGCTAACCTTCCTGGGGGCGCTCGGGAAACTTTGAGGCACCCTTGGTGCCCCTCTGGCCGACGTGTACGAGGGGGCACGGGAGGGAGAGTGGGAGGCACTTTGGCGGGCAGCGTCAGTCCTCCGCGTGACCTTCCCGGAGACCCTGGGATCAGGGTGTGCGCACAGAGGGGTGCGCAGTCTAAGAAGCCCTGAAAATGCCCAGGCCCAATCTGCGGATCCCTGGAGTCGTTTCTCAGATCCAGCTCCTGGGCTCTAATGGAGCAAAAACCTGGAAAGGGTGCTCTCCTCCCGGCAGCGGGCGGGCAACTCCGGCCGCACCTTCTTGCTTTTAGAATTCGGCCTGATCGCGGAAAGGCTGGCCCCTCACAGGAGGAGCCCCATGGGTCTCTGGGCCGGGGTTCTCCCTCTGTGCTTACGGTCTGCTCTGTCCTGTGGGGAAGCGGAGTTGGGAGCCAGGGGGCTCCCTGGAGTGAACTGGGGTGGGGAGCTCCTTGGGCGGGATTTAGATGGGAGGTGAGGCCCAAGTGTGTGTCTGCTGCCTGTTCTGATGGAGTGTGCACGGACCACGTGAATATTTTAAAACCTTTGTGCAGAACAGGAGGTCACAGGAAAGTGTTTTTCTGGAGGTGGTTTTCTGATCTGGGAGGTTCTTCTGTCTCTGCATAGCCTGGACTCACTGACAACTGGGAGACCACCCTGCTCCCCGTTTCCTAGGGGCGTACCCATCTGGGAGGGCTGTGCTGCCTGTGACCATTTCTGCTTCTCCTTGCTCCCTGTGCCCAGGCTGGAGCCAGGAATTAAGTGCTGGGGTCCTTCTGCCCTCCATAGGGCAGAAACTGGGTTCGCAGGCTCTGTCTCCGGGGACCGCGGAGGCGCCCACACACCGCTGAAATCAGCTGCCGCCTCCTCTTAGGTGGAATCCAGGCGGCGTTAGCCTCCGGCCTACCCCACACACCCTCAGTGAGGTGTAGAGGAAGGCCAGAGTCAGGCTGCTACTCCGCCTGACTGCCTCACCTTAAGCTAGGTTCCTCTTTCGCTGCGCCTCATTCGCGGGTCTCTGTCCCCGACCGCTGCCATGTGGCCAGGGAGGCTCAGGGAGCAGCAGGCTTATGGGCTCCTTGTGGAGTGCGCCCCCCTCCGTCCTGAGACGAGCACCCCCGCCTGTGCTGGGACCCCGAAGAGGCGCTGCAGCAGGTCTGTCTCTCAGCTTTCTGGTGGCCCCTCCCCTCCAGCCGGCGGACCTGGAGGTCGGCAGGCGGGAGAGGGGTCCTCCCATCAGGTGGGGCGGAGAGCCTGAGGGAGAGCAGGGGCCAGAGAGGCGGGGGCCCGCTTGAGCGCCCTTGGGAACCAGAAAGGGAGCTCCAGTGTGCTGGTCACCAGGGAAGATTCCGCCTTCTCTGTTGGTGCACTGCTGGGCACATAGAGTGGGCCCTCTGCAAATGTCCGTGTTGGCACAGACCTGGCAGACACGAACTCCAAATCCCTAGCCCCTTCTTCATACACCCCTTTCCAGGTGAGGACCCAAACAGAGCCCTTATCTTGGGGAGGGGAGCAGAGCCTGGGACTTCTCCATCTCTAACTGCTGTGTCAGCCCCCCATAGGGCCCCTAGGCTGTTCAGGAAGGGACCTCTCCAGAGGGATGTTCCCTGAGCTGTGCTGTGCTGGGAGGAAGAGGTGCCCAGAGAGGGGCAGGGTCTTCTCCAAAGCCACTCAGCCAGTGAGAGGTTTGAGTAGAAGCCTCCACATAGTTCTCCCCAGGCTGGAGGGTGTCTGCCAGGCTTCCTGTCTCAGACCTTGGTGTCTCTACCCTCAAGTCTGCCTAAAGCAGGACAAAGTAACACTGGGGCCTTGCCACAATGAAATAATAATGATGGCATTGAAAACAGTAATGACAGTAATGGCAAAAGCAGTGCCCTTCAGCACTGGTACTGACTGGGCCCACCTGTGGGCAGTTTCCTCTCATCCAGGCTTCCTTGCCATGGGCCACAGGAGCACCTGGAAGCCTTACATGCACCTGGGCTGGAAGCAAGTGCGTCATCACCCCCAGTAATCCCTGTAGGTCCATGGCTGCTGGTGACCCTCAGAGCCACCTGATGCCCACCCTCTGTCCTGCTGCTCCCAGGCCTGGCTCTGGGTTGGGCCATCCTTTGACAGGTGCAGCTGGTGTCTGCTGCTGAGCTGAGCTCCTCCTGCCAGGGCTTTGCTGTGAGTGGCACATGGGCACACCTGCCTCTCCCCTGGGGCCTGCAACTGGAGCCCTGCCATGGGCTGGCATGGAGGGAGGCAGTTCGTGGGCAGCAAGAGGGGTGGAGGCTGGGCTGGCCGCTCAGAAGGTGTGGTGGGTGTGGGCTCCATCCCAAAGGACAGCTGCACCAGGAGACTGGCAGCGTGACTGGGAGACAGCAAGGGCCTAAGATGAAAGAAAGCCAGCCTGAAACTGGGCCGCAGGTAGGGCAGGGAGGCCGGAGGCTGCAGTGGGCGGGCAACTCCGGCTGCACCTTCTTGCTTTTAGAAGTCGGCCTGATCGTGGAAAGGCTGGCCCCTCACAGGAGGAGCCCCATGGGTCTCTGGGCCGGGGGTGGGTAGAGGTGCTGGGCTGAGGCAGGCAGGCTTTGCAGAGAAGTGGAGCTGTGGGCAGGATTAGAGCCCTTGCTGGGCACTGGCTGAGGCCCAGTGCTCTGCCAGCTGATTTAATTTCCTAATGGTCTGGAGCGCAGAGGGTGGCATTAGTTCCATTGTACAGATAGGAGATTTGAGGCCAAGGAAGCACTGAGAGAGATTGCAGCTTGTGCCCCTTGGACCCAGAGCCCTGGTGCCCTGCCAGGGACAGAGATGCACCTTCCTCATTCTACAGACATCCCACAGGGTGCATTTGTATGCCAGGCTGGCTGCGTGGACCACCAGAATGATATGACATTCCCTCCTATCTCATGGAGGCCTTGGCACCCTCTGCTTAGCTGTGGCCCAGTGCAGTGTCTGGCATACAGAAGTGCTTAATAAACTGGTGTTGAATAAATGGAGGGCTGGCCCCTACCCTTGGGAAATCTCATGTCTGGGAGGAGACTTCAGGGCACACAGCTAGGGTGAGTAAGACCTGTGGTATCCTGGCTTAGTCACTTCTCTTGGGGCCTCAGTTTATCATCTGTGAAGTGAGATCAGAGCCCCAGCTGGGGAGGCTCCTGAGAACACCTGGATGGGAGAGTGGAAATGTAAACCTCTGTGTGTGCCTCTGGGTTGGGGGGATTTCAGTAGAAGTGGGGATGTGGAAAAGGGGCTCCCTGAAGGATGGGGATGTGAGCATTTGTGTGGCCAGAGCCTTAGGATTCTGTTATTCCAGTCCTGCCTGCCTTTGGACATGTGGAGAAACTGAGTCCAGGGTGGGCAAGTGGAGGACTCTGGCTCCGGCTGTGTCCCTGTGCCCCCTCCCCAGCTGTCTCCCCATCTACCCCCAGTGATGTTCCACAGCTTGGGTCCTCCTGCTAGCTGCTGCAGCTGCAGCACAAGACTGCAGTGGCCTTGGGACCCCTGGCCCAGCACCCTGATTGTCCTTCAGCTTTGTAAATGCAGACACGTTCTGTTTGCACAGCCACATCAGAGCAGGAGCCCCTTTCTCAGTAGCCCCTAAGAGGAGGCCTGCCCTGGCTGTGCATTAATGCCTCCCCAGAGTCAGTGGGAGCAGCCTTCTGGATCCTGCAGCACATGGCCCCTGGCCAGGCCGGGCCACCTTCTCCCAGGGTCTAAGGGCAGCTGAAGCCTCCCCCTCCCATCTCCCTCTCACTAGAGGACTCAGGCTTGTAGAGGCGCCAGGGAACAAAAGAGAAGCCTCTGGAGTGGGGAATTTTTCCAGGGCTACCCCTGGCCACAAGCATCTACTGTATACTTGGCATACTCTGGGTACTTTAATTAAGGGACTGTCCTGGGCTCAGGACCCTCCCATGGGTTCCCCCTCACTCAGAATAAAAGCCACTTTCCTACCTTGGTCTACAAGGCACTGCCCTGTCTGATTCTCATCACGGTCCTCACTCCCCCGCCCCACCCCATGGAACCACCTGCCTCCTCCCTCCTTATCGTGCCTCCAGCACAGCAGGCCCAGTCCTGCTCCAGGGCCTTTACACCTGCTGCTTCCCCTGCCAGGACCCTCTTCCCAGATCTCCACAGTCTCCTCCCTCAGCACCGTCAGGCTTGCCAAATGCTCCCTCCTCCTTGAGGCCTCTCCTGGATGACACTTTCTCCTCTTTCTCTGCATTTCCTGCCTGCTACACTGTAGAACTTAATGCCATCTGCCACTTTCTGCCTTATTTGCTCATCTTGTTTATCACCTGCCCCATCCCCCACCCCTGAATATAAGGTCCTTGAGTGTAAGGGTTTGAGGCTGGTTCATTCACAGCTCATCCTGGGTGGCCACAACAGTACTCAGTGTATAGTAGGTTCTCAGTAAACACATGGGGAATGAATGGCTTGGTTCTTCCATGCATGGTCCCTGACCCATAGTGCTCAGTAGGAGCGGTGAGCCACAACTGTCCCCTTCTGCAGATGAGAGAACTGAGGCTCAGAGAGGTGTCATCACTTCCTCAGACTCATGGAGCTTGTCAGGGGCAGAGCTGGCATTCAGACCTTGCCTCTGAACCCTTGGCTTGCCATCTCTCTGTGTGAGGGGGAAGGAGTTGGCGTTTATTTCAGGCCTTTACTCTGCATTGAGCTCTTTCTGTCTGTGACCTCACCTGCTTCAAGCTCTGAGCTTTGCTGTGTCC